TTGATTTGAGGTGTCTTGTTTGCATTTGGAAGATTGAGGTATGAACATACAACATGCAGTCAAAGGATTGCGGTCAGTATGCAGGTGAAACAGGCCATCCTTAGGCTGCGAAAACAGAAAAAAAACTATTTGAGAAATTGCCACAACATTAGAAGCGGCAAAATCCACAGTTTGGTACATCCTGAGAAAGAAAGAAAGCATTGGTGAACTCAGCAATGCAAAAAGGCCTGGACGTCCACAGACGACAACGGTGGTGGATGATCACAGAATCATTCCATGATTCCATGGTGAAGAGAAGCCCCTTCGTAACAGCCAACCACGTGAACAACACTGTCCAGGAGGTAGGCGTATCAATATCCAAATCTACCATTAAGAGAAGACTGCATGAAAGCAAATACAGAGGTTTCACTGTGAGATGCAAGCCACTCATAAGGCTTAAGAATAGAAAGGCTAGATTGGACTTTGCAAAAAAAACATCTGAAAAAGCCAGCACAGTTCTGGAACAGCATTCTTTGGACAGGTGAAACCAAGATCAACCTGTATTAGAATGATGGAAAGAAAAAAGTATGGAGAAGGGATGGAACAGCTTATGATCCAAAGAACACCACATCATCTGTAAAACATGGTGGAAGCCGTGTGATGGCTTGGGCGTGCATGGCTGCCAGTGGCACTGGGTTTTTAATGATTGTTGATGATGTGACAAAGGATGAAAGCAACTGAATGAATGCTGAGGTGTTCAGAGACATCATGTCTACTGAAATACAGTCAAATTGGTTGGGCGGCGTTTCATAATATAGATGGACAATGACCCAAATCACACAGCAAAAGCAACCCAGGACTTTATTAAAGCGAAGAATTGGAATATTCTCAAATGGCCAAGTCTGTCACCTGATCTCAACCCCATTGAGCATTCATTTCACTTGTAAAGACTAAACTACAGACAGAAAGACCCTCAAACAAACAGCAGCTGAAAGCTGCTGCAGTAAAGGCCTGGCAGAGCATTAAAAGGAGGAAACCCAGCATCTGGTCATGTCCATGAGTTCAAGATTTCAGGCAGTCATTTCCTACAAAGGGTTTTCAACTAAGTATTAGAATTGAACATTTTATTTGCAGTTATATTAATTTGCCCAGTTACTTATGAGCCCCTGAAAGGAGGGGACTGTGTAGAAAAATTACTTTAGTTCCCCACATTTTTGTGCAATGTTTTTGTTCTACCCACTGAATTGAAGCTGAAAGTCTGCATTTCAACTGCATCTGACTTGTTTCTTTTAAAATTTATTCTGGTAATGTACAGAACTTAAAAATTGAAAAACTTTCTCTCTGTCCAAATATGTATGGTCCTGACTGTAATTACACATCTGTGTGTGTAAGTTCATGTGGTTGCATTGTGCTGCATCTACCTGTTCCTGCCTTGTTCCCTTACC